CGCGCACCTGGCGCTGTGAGTGTGGCACTGGGACAGGAGGGTGACATTGGGACAGGAGGGTGACACTGGGACAGGAGGGTGACATTGGGACAGGAGGGTGGCAGTGGGACAGGAGGGTGACATTGGGATGGCAGGGTGATATTGGGATGGGGAGGGTGACATTGGGACCAGAGAGTGGCACTGGGAGAGGAGGGTGGCATTGGGACGGGAAGATGGCACTGGGACGGGAGGGTGACACTGGGATGCGACGGTGACACTGGGATGGCAGGGTGGCACTGGGAGGGAAGGGTGGCACCAAGACCGGAGGGTGACACTGGGATGGGAGGGTGACATTGGGATGGGGTGGTGACATTGGGACAGGAAGGTGACATTGGACACAGGAGGGTGGCACCGGGACAGGAGGGTGACATTGGGAGGCAGGGTGGCATGGAGGGGATGGGTCACACCGTGTACCCTGACCCAGAACTGTCCCCCACTGTCCCCACTCTCTGTGTCCCTGGGGTCACCCCCAATGTCCAGCCCTTGTGCTGACCACTACCCAATGGTGCCCAGTCCCTGGTGTGACCAGTGACCGGTGCCCTGGGCTGACCACTGCCCTGAGCTGACCATTGCCCTACGCTGACCGGTGCCCAGGTGTCCCTGGTGTGACCGGTGCCCTGTGCTGACCACTGCCCCATTGTGCTCCTGTGGTCACCCCCAATGCCCGGCCCCTGTGGTGACTGGTGCCCCATGGTGCCCAGTCCCTGGTGTGACCACTGCCCCGCACTGACCACTGCCCCATGCCTGCAGGGTGTCCGAGCGCACCGGTGTGTCCCTGGTGTGACCAGTGCCCTGCGCTGACCACTGCCCCATTGTGCTCCTGTGGTCACCCCCAATGCCCGGCCCCTGTGCTGACCAGTGACCGGTGCCCCGCACTGACCACTGCCCAGCACTGACCACTGCCCCGCACTGACCGCTGCCCCGTGCCCGCAGGGTGTCCGAGCGCACCGGGGTGTCCCTGGTGTGACCGGTGCCCCGCACTGACCACTGCCCCGTGCCCGCAGGGTGTCCGAGCGCACCGGCGTGTCCGTGGGCCTGCGGGGCTGTGTCCGGGTGCTGGCGGTCAATAACCGCGGTCACTCNGCCCCCCGGGCACCGACGGCCTCAACCTGGACACCGAACTGTTCCTGGGCGGGGTGCCGGACGCGCACCTGGCGCTGTGAGTGTGGCACTGGGACTGGAGGGTGACACGGGGACAGGAGGGTGACAGTGGCACATGGAGGGTGACACTGGGACGGGGAGGTGACATTGGGACAGGGAGTGTGGCACCGAGATGGGAGGGTGGCACTGGGACAGGAGGGTGACACTGGGATGCGATGGTGACATTGGGATGGCAGGGTGGCACTGGGAGGGAAGGGTGGCACCCAGACCGGAGGGTGACACTGGGACAGGGAGGGTGACATTGGGCACAGGAGGGTGACATTGGGATGGGGAGGATGGCACTGGGACGGGGACACCGGGACCAGAGGGTGGCACTGGGAGTGGGAGGGTGGCACTGGGAGTGGGAGGGTGGCACTGGAATGGGACGGTGGCACTACGATGGGGAGATGGCACTAGGAGGGGAGGGTGACACTTGGAGGGGAGGGTGGCAGTGGGATGGGACAGTGACATTGGGCACAGGAGGGTGACATTGGGATGGCAGGGTGGCACTGGGATGGATGGGTGGCACTGGGACAGAGAGGGTGACATTGGGATGGGAAGGTGACATTGAGAGGGGAGGGTGGCATGGACAGGATGGGTCACACCCTGTACCCTGACCCAGGACTGTCTCCCACTGTCCCCACCCTCTGTGCCCTTGGGGTCACCTGTGCCTCACTGTGCCCTTGGGGACACCCCCAGTGCCCCTGTGGTCACCTCCAATGCCCAGCCCCTGTGATGACCAGTGACCAGTGCCCTGTGATGACCAGTACCCCATGGTGCCCAGTCCCTGGTGTGACCAGTGACAGGTGCCCTGTGCTGACCACTGCCCTGCACTGACCACTGCCCGGTGCCCGCAGGGTGTCCGAGCGCACCGGCGTGTCCCTGGTGTGACCGGTGCCCTGCGCTGACCACTGCCCCATTGTGCCCCTGGGGTCACCCCCAATGACCAATCCCTGTGGTGACCGGTGCCCCATGGTGCCCAGTCCCTGGTGTGACCGGTGACCGGTGCCCTTTGCTGACCACTGCCCTGTGCTGTCCGGTGTCTGGGTGTCCCTGGTGTGACCGGTGCCCTGTGCTGACCACTGCCCCATTGTGCTCCTGTGGTCACCCCCAATGCCCGGCCCCTGTGGTGACCGGTGCCCCATGGTGCCCAGTCCCTGGTGTGACCGGTGCCCCGCACTGACCGGTGCCCTGCACTGACCACTGCCCCGCACTGACCACTGCCCTGCACTGACCACTGCCCCGCACTGACCGCTGCCCCGCACTGACCGCTGCCCCGTGCCCGCAGGGTGTCCGAGCGCACCGGCGTGTCCGTGGGCCTGCGGGGCTGTGTCCGGGTGCTGGCGGTCAATAACCGCGGTCACTC